TAGGGCTGTCTCCAGCCCTCTGGAGCACATGTATCTACCAAGGGTACCAATGCGCCCGCTGTTTCTTGTCCATGCAGTCTGATTTAACATGATATCATTAATAGTGAGCTGATGTGATCCGTGAGATAGCCAGATCTAGGTGCTTTTATACTGTATTGACAGAGGGTAAAGTAGTTGTTGACGTGGCCCCAGGGAAGGACGACATAAGTACACTGCTGTCCACCTCACATGAATGTGAACCACTTCTGGTTCTTTGAGGGATGGAAAAGAATACATCTGCCTGATCAGTGGCCATACACACCAACTCCCTGAGACCAAGCTAATCCGCTTTAGCAAAGATAGTACATCTGGCACAGTGGCGGAGACTGGCACCTACTTGGTAGCAGTCTGCTCTTATCCTCCAGAATCCATCTGGTTTGGTGAGGGTCATCCTGACGAGTGAAATGAGGGTTTGATAAGGACTCCACCGCTGCATTCTTAAGGTCTTTATTCACCATCTTGGCAGGGAGGTTTCAAAGGCTTTCACTTCACTTGCCCCCAAAGCCAAGAAACTAATTTGGAGGTTCTGCCACCTGCCAAGTATGTGCATTTTAATTATACATTTGGGGACTTGGAAAACGGCCACTGATTGGTGGATCTAGTGGACCCCTGTGAGCTGAACCTGGGCCAAAATTCCATTGATTACATGGTCCCCATATGCCCCAGTGCCACGATGATGCTTCAGGTTATCAGGTACCAGTGTTGGCTCAGACTCTGCATCCAGCAATCCTTAAAACGCCTGCCCGGGTATTCCCTTTCCCCAGCACACATTCACTTGAGTAAATGGCCACAGGCCGTGGGGGAGGACGAGGGAAGCCCCTACCACGTGCACGTACCCTGTGGCGTCGAGGGCCTCTCCTCTGGGAAGGTCCAGCCTCTTCTTTTAGGCAGTAGTGTCTGGGACTCAAAACTGGCTTTGGTCTGGAAAATGAGTCAGAGACTGTCATTTTTATGGGGTGCAGTCCTCAGCCTCTTTTCTGTCTTTGATTTATTCTCATTGTTTAAGCCAGGGATGGGGAACCTGCAGCCTTAAGGCCACATGTGGCCTTCTAGGTCCTTAAGTGTGGCCTTTTGACAGAATCCAAATTTTACAGAACAAAACCTTTTATTTTTATTAACAAAGAGGTCTGGCTATGTTGCCCAAGCTGGTCTGGAATTCCAGGCCTCAAGTGATCCTCCCACTTTGGCCTCCCAAAGTGCTGGGATTACAGGCACGAGCTACCATGCCTGGCCACATTCTCTTAATGATTAATAATGTTGAGCATTTTTTCATGTGCTTATTGCCATTTATACACATTCTTTGGAGAAATGTCTACTCAAGTCCTTTGCCTGTTTTTGAATTGCGGGTGCTTTTGTGTGTGTGTGTGTGTGTGTCATTGTTGCGTTTTAGGAGTTCTCTGTATATTCTGGATATTATTAAACTCTTGTTAGATAGATGATTTGCAAATATTTTCCCTCATTCTGTAGATCGCCTTTTCATTTTCTTAAAATGGTACACACAAGTTTTTAATTTTGATGTACTGTTTTGTTACCTGTGCTTTTGGTATCGCAGCCAAGAAATCGTTGCCAAATTCAATGTCAAGAAGCTTTTCTCCCATGTTTTCTTCTATAAATTTTATAATTTTAGCTCTTATGTTTAGGTCTTTGATCTATTTTGAGTTAATTTTTATATATGGTATTAGGTAAAGGTCCAACTTCATTCTTTTGCATGTGGATATCGAGTTTTCCCAACACAATTTGCTGAAAAGACTTAGCCACATGGTTTCTCCATATCCCGTGGTCAGGTGCTCCATTGCTAGCAGGGTAGCGTGCCAGAAGCCGTTTT